AGTACATTTTCTGTAATTTTAATATCTATATATTTCTTTTCAAAGGTCATATACAGAGATTTAGCCAGTTTTGTATAAAATATCATGTAAATACATTCAAAACTCATTTTTGGCAAGCTGCAAACACACAAACAGCCCTTTCTCCTCTGAACAGCCTCCCTGGAGTGATGCAACCACTCAAGTAAATAAGGGACACTTGCATAACGTGGTGGAGGATTAAGCTCTATTGACATAATTTCAAAACAAGTATGGACAGATAAGGCACATGTTGGATTATTTTTCTAAACTGTACACAGATTTGAGGTATCAGCAGGTACAGTTTCTCAAATGCTGTTGAACACATCAGTTTTGTATCATTTCTATGTCCAAAGTCATGTAATGCAGTAATTTCAGTTTTAACTGTGGTATTTGTGCTGAACATTCTTCATATTCAATATTTTTGATTGTTTTTAAGATAGCAGAAAAAGAAACCCAAATTGAAACTCAAAAAGCTGTTATGAAATAGTTTGTAAAACTGCAGTCTATGAAACAAACCAGCAAACACAACAGGCTCCAGCCCTCATTTGCACTGATGGCAGTTTAGGACCTTTCCTGCTAAATTTACAGGTTCAGTGGATACCATGGGTGCTTTTGCTTTGCAAAACCAGACTTTAATTTTTTAATGTAATTGCAGAAATACAAGTTTGATAAGCACTCACCTACACTTCATAAATTCCTGTAAAATGAACTTTTTAACCACAGTGTTTAACATTATAATAAAAAGCAGCAGATGGGATCAGTGTCATTTACAGATACTTAGGTCAACTCCTTTTAAAGTTTCTGTTCATTAATATCTAAGTTATGTAAGAAACCACACAAGTGAGCTGACACAGAAGTGAGCTGACTGTTCCATGAAACCACACTTGAAGGCAACTTCTAGCAGAACTTAACAGGAATTAATTGCTTGTCCTAAGTCACAGGAAAGCCACAAACATTACTAATGTATTTCTTACTCCACTCTCCTGTCAATAATTCAACTTATGCATGGAAAACTCGTGTTTCCCAGCCTTGCTGTGGTTTCCCCCAGGCTCCCTACAGTAGTATACAATAATATCATCGATTAAGTCCTTCCTCCATTCATATCTAAGTGACAGATTTTCAGCACTGACTTTAGCTGCAGGTTACTCAACAGCCACACATCCCTGGTGTTGTGCCATCTGATGGGACACAAGCACATGGCAAAGTTGCAGTGGTTCACCTGGGCATGTGAAAGTACTAAAAGCAATTTTTAGCTTACAAATATAAATTATTACCAGGGAAAATAAAGTTTAGGAATTTTTTTTTACTCACTGGTTTGCTTCAGTCTGTAATGGATTCCCCCAAGTGGAGCTCTGGAGTATTTCAAACTGAAGTAATTATGGTCAGGTGCAGGGCAGTGCCAGGGACATGGTTAAAAGGCAGGTGACTGCAGTGACACTGAGACTGGACTAACTAGAGTGACCAGTTTCTCTCTGCCCCTTCCTTTTTGTTAAAAAAAAAACCACAAAAACCAACCCACTATTGCAAAGGGTCAAGAAATGTGCTTACATAAACTGTCCTGTAAAGGTGCCAGGTTCAGTGTGTGCCACAGTGATTGCCTTGGCAGGTCAGAGTGTCACAGGCCTTTTGAAATGACCCATATGTGTAACTTCTCACTTGAAAATCTCCTGGTTAAACCTCTGCAAGGCTGGCTGTGCTGCTCAGCATGTCAGCCTGTCCTGAACAGGTAAAAAACAGGAATTTCAAATTAAACAAAGCAATACTGGGGTTCTTCCACCTCTGGACACTCCTTCCTTTGCTAGAGCACATTGGAACCAAACTCACTGAGCTGAATTCAGCCACATACCTGCACTATTTGTCCAGGATGAGTGCTTTGGGGACATTTAAATTTTTATCTCTTAATAATTTACAGTTATTAATATTTTGCATATCTTGGAGAGAAATCTATTGCCTACAAAGAAAATTCAGAGCTTCCATGCTCAAAATTTTAAAAATAGAAATGTGTCAGGAAACCTACTATAGGTAGATTATATGTGCATAATGCTGTAAATTATCTGGGCAACAGATCATTTACAGATATCTGTCCCAACAGATATCTGGGACTGAAAAAATGTGAGATTACTGTTGTATTTCTCAAGAAAGAAATACCAGATTTGGAAAAAAAAAAAGTTCTTCTGTCCATGCACTCCTGGTTTTACAAGTATGTGTTCAAACTGTAGAGTTACACAAAAGTCAGGCATGCTGTAAATTAAGAGACACTGTCACAGCACAAAATTTGCATAAAATTTGCTTCTATTTTAAAAAGTCTCCTCTAGAGGGCAGCATTGAACCAGCATTCACCTTTATAATGCACACATTACATTGACAGGCCAGGGGAGTTATTTACCATTATGAGAAAGCTGGAAGCTTCATGGCATCTTAAAAGTTTAATTAATTTTTATTATTTATTTTAATCAGTTGTGCATTACAATGTGTGAGTTCTTGCATTCTTGCCCAAGACCTGCCATATTTGGCTGAGTGCAAAACCAAAACTATACCCAGGGTAGTGGTTACTGTAACAATCTTAAAACCACAGGTGCCATTTCCATGGATTACTTTGGTTGCATGGGATGTCTTAAATTGCTGAAACCTGCCACGTTTTGCTGGTTTGCATAAGGATTTCAAATTCTGAATTTATGAAACTACAGAAGACAAAAGCTCATCTAAATATTTTATCTATTGGTTTCCTAAAAAGAAAACACATCAGAAAGTTGCTTGCCATTAAAAGAAACAATCTTATTTTTAAATACACAGGAGAAAAATCCATACAGAAATAAATTCATCACCGTTATATATACAGGAAGTGTCAGGAGCAGTGCATACAGGAGAGGTGACTCCCCATGGGAGTAAAACAAAGCATGTGGCAATGTCTTGATTATGATGTTTTTAAACTAAAATATTGATGAATTGACACTTGGGAACAGTTCCAGTTTGGGGTCAGATGAGGATTTCTCTGCCACCTGTTTTGTAATCCAAAAAAATTCCTGAATTCACTGGCCAAGCCGTGACTGAGCTGCAAAACTCTTAATTAATCACATTTGTCCCCATGAGAACAGGCCAAATTATTGGGTTCATGCTCTGGCAAGGTTCCTCTCAAGCTGTGCAGTTACACACATGGGGTTTTTTGCCTTATTCCCTTCTTGCCCAAATCCATCCTCCCCAGAAGCTTTAGGGAGCGCTCCCATACTCAGCTGGGTGCAGCAGCAGCTCCTCAGTCACAGCATGCACATCCTGTGTGTCACAGCAAGGCAGCCCTGCCTGCAGAGCCTTGGGGCTGGAAAACCTTTTAGGGGTCTCAAGAGAGTTCTTGTGCCCTTATGGTTCAGTTTGGGAACTTTGCTTCCAAAACCCACTGGGCTACAGTGTGTTAAGACAGAGGATGTTTGTGGTGACTGGAAAGATGTCACTGGCTACGGTTTGAAATGGAAGAAACCTGACAGAAAACTGTGTGTCCTCTGCTCCATGGTTGCCTTAACCTCATGGAAAACACCATGCAGTTAAATTAAAGGCAGGAATTTTGTTTTGTTGACTAAAAACCAAAAATATTCTTGTCTGAGTTTCAGGTTCCCCCAGTATCAGTAACTTCAGTGTGTTAGCCAGAATGTCTACTGATGAATCTATGAAGTTATACCAAATATCTTAGTGATCAAGAAAAATCAGTGGCTCAGTCTCAGCCTGACCCACATTTCATAAGCATTAGCAGCCTCTCTGTCACTCATATTCATTGCTGCTGACATATAGTGGTAACATTCAGCTGCTTTTTGGAATTGCTGTAAAGCAGTCTCAGATTCTTTCAAACCAGAGGGGAAAACAAAAGAAGAGAGATTTCCTGGGGGAAAAACTCCCTAAGTTTTGTGAAAGGCTGAGATCATGACTGAGTTTTGAGCAAGGCTGCCAGTACTACCTAGAAGTAAAATTTGTCTTTGTGAGCTATTCACAAAGTATTCAGAAACACCCACATAAACATTTTCATATGTAAGGAGAAAATAATCAACTGATCTGGCATGAATTTGCCAAGCAAAGCACATCTTTTCAACTCACTGCAATAGGATCATGACTGGTCTGTATTAAAAAACTGCTCTTCTAAATGTTTGTGTGTAAGGCACATGGAAGTCTAAACAGATTTCCTCTCAGACTGTGTAATCAGTACAAAACCCAACAGTTTCTCTGATAAAGTCTGTTGATCTGGATGATGTGACTGATGATCACAGAATGGCTGGGCTTGGAACAGTCTAGAGGTGACTGAGGTCCAGCTCTGTGCCATGGGCAGGGAAGCAGGGACACTGTTCGGAATCTAAAGGCCAAATGCAGCAATCTGAGCTGAGGACCAGGCAGGGCTTCAGGTGCCCTGCTGGGGGATCCTCTCCCTGCTCTCACAGGCTCTGCTCCTTTGGCGATGAGGGGGTGGCAGAGTGCATGTACCACCCCAAATGTACTCTCCCCAGAGTGGGGAGAGATCCAGAGACCTGCTGGTTCCTCAGATGAGTTCCTCACAGCCCCAGTGGCAGCAGTGTGCAGCAGGATCTGTCCCTGCCACCATTCCTGATGGAGTGGAGCAGCAGGAGCCCAGAGGAGCCGCTGCACCTGAGCAGTGACTCCAATGTCCTGAACATTCCTGAGTGGCTGCACGTGCACAGATGATCTCTGTACATGCAGAACCAAGGGCCTTTGCCTGGGAACTTCCAAAGGGGATCACAAAAAGGTTTGGTAGCTGAGCTGCAGCACTGGTGGGGTGGATACAGCTGTGCTAGAGTGGCAATTGCAGCCTTCCTTCACTACAAACAGATGGCTTGGGTGCTGTGGCAGCAGAGGCTCTGTGCTGGGAGGGGGATGGTGGCCTTGCAGAGCTGTGAGAGGGTAAAGCACTATTCTGGTATTCTGTGTCAATGTTTTGCAGGCCTGGCAGTGGTCACAGTTGATGCCTACAAGCACTGGATATTCCACAAGGTGAAGACGGAATACTGACTTGTTTACCTGAAGATAATAGGACTTCGGGGTATTTCCTCAGAGAAAATATAAATTTTAATATAATTTCATAAGCTTTGGAGGTTAGCTTGTCTTGTAGCTTCAGTGATATCAAACTTCTTCAAGTAGGAGCTAGATAGAAAGCTGTTTAGTTTTTGCCAGCGTATGTAAAACAAGACTTTTCTATCTGCATTGTAGATTGTTTGTGGACACTTCCAGATTCTTGTGCTTTCTGCAGTCATTCTGGGGACTGAACTCTCATTGATATTGAAAGAAGTTCCATGAACACGACATGTGCAGGAATTTGAGTGTAGAAGCCCACGGTGTGGTTTGGAATAGTGAACTGCTTTTGGTTTGGAGATGACTGGGGGAGATGGGAAGAGCAACTGTACATTAAGGGAACAATTACAGATCTTCCTGGTGACATCAATGAGAGATTTGCCTTCAACCTTTCACAGAAAATTTTTTAGCTTTAATTTGGGATATTAAAGGGGTTTTTCAAAAGCACTAAAGGCCAGTGGAAGCTTGTTAGCTGCTCCTTATGCCTTTAAAAACCCCTACACCAAAAGTGATAGCCGAGAACATGAAATGGAAGTAAATAAAATGCATTTTCATTGCTGTTTTGAGTTATATAATTGTTGTTTCTTGATTTGTTAGTTGATCTGAATTTAACATGGATTTAATCTGTATGGTGACCAAGGAAATGGTGAGTAACTGCTAGAGATGCCAAGTACAGCCACAAAGCCAGTGATGTGTAGGTGAGCCCCTGAGCAGCCACAATGCACTGCCCACAGCCCTGAGGCTGTGTCACCTCTGCTGAGCCTGGGGGCCATTCCAGCACTGACCAGCACAGAGCAGGGCCTGACCCTGGGATAAGCTCAAGGACACCCAGAGGCAGCAGAGAGCTCAGACACCATCACCCTCCCTGTGTGCAGCACAAAGCACATCCCCATGTTGTTCACAATAGCAGAGCAGCACCTCCAGCACTAGGTCAGCCTGGACAGGGCAGGGAGCACCTGGACAGTCCCATCCCTCTCTGGCAGTAGCTGCAGTGAGAGTGGCAATGCAGCAACAATCTTAACAGAGGTTTTGGGTCTACTCAGTGCACCAAAACTGCCTCCCTTCTGTATTCTCTAAGATCAAGGCCACAAGAGCCATAATACCATGTTTGATATTACAGTCAGCTCCCAATTTCACCTAAAACTCCCACTCAGAACCCAGCAACTTGTATTGAGAAAAGTATTCCCTCCAGCCATGATCTGTTAAATCAAAAGGGCATAAGGGTGATAGCAATTATATCACTGATCTGGTTAGAATTGACCAATTTTACCAATAAAAATCCACAGCTTACTGTTTTCAGTTTATGTTGCTTCAACTTCTACCCATTGGATGAGTATTTGTATATCTTTCTCTGTGCAGTTTAAAAACTTGTTAATACAAAGTATCTCCTCCCTGTAAAGGAATCTGCTTGCTTCTTGATCTTCATTGTAAGCTGAACAGACTCGGCTGTAAGCCATCGTATTCCTCTTTGAAATATTTTTTTATGGCTCTCTGCTGCACAATTGCTGTTTTTTCAACAATCTTAAAAATGTTGAACTGTGGAATAGTTTGTAGTTTTAATTGATCCCACAGTAGCATATGCAGATATCAAAATAATAATGATTTTTATCCACTGCCCTGCTCTGCATGGGATGTGCCTGAGAAGAGATAATGTAACAAAAGAGACTAAAAAGGTGAAGAAAAATAAGACAACAAGAGGAGAGTGCAGAGTTAGTTTACAGTTAAAACCATGTAAACCAAGAAGAAATAAAAAGCAAATGAACTCTACAAACCAAATCAATTAAATACTCCAAACTCCCAATTTCTGGTAGCCCCAAGAGCAACATTATGTGCTCTGTTGTTTAAGAAGGGACTTGAGCAGAGCCTTCCCTGTCCTGCAGCTCCCTGCACTGCACTGGAAGCATTGCCAGGTTTTTCTGGTTTGAAATTCTGCAGCAGAGGCTTCCTGGGGAATTTGTGTTCCACAGTAACAAAGTGCTGGCACATCTTCAGGCTCAGACCCCAGAGCAGGACCCAGAGGTGCTTCCTCTTGAGGAAAAAGGTTTCTCTTGATTGTAGAGGAATTAACCACAGGCAGTCAAGGTTGTTCAGTTTAGCCCCAGAATTGCTGTTTCCATCACACCCACAGCAGGTAGTGATGGATGGAGCTTGGCTTTGTTTCCTCTGCAGGTTGCAAATCCTTCTCCTGCTTGACCAGACAGCAGACAGCAGCTTCTTCCATTTTTAAGGCTGCATCCTTCTTTTCTTAGTTTTCAGCCAGGTTTTTTCACCCTTTTAATGTGCATGTACAATGCAAATATGAAGTTGAGAGCCAAATGAGGATTTTTGCCCTCCTTCATGCAGTAAGGCACACAAGGCTGGCTCAGTACTGTTAGTTCACACTGCAGCATGAGCAGGGAACACTGTTCATCCTCAGCTACTGCCATCTGTACCTTTAGCAAATCCTGGTGTTACCATGCAGTGCTATGGGTTTGGGAGCTTTACATTATTTTCCAAGTCCATAAATGTCAGAATCCAGTATAAAAAAAGGTCAATATATTACTGTCAAAAGTTTTTTTTTTCCTTTTTTTATACAAAAATTAAAAAGATCAAAATATATCACATTATTTACATATTGTGCTTCATGCTTAGAGATCACTGAAAAAGAACACACAAACAAACATTTTAATCAGAGAAATGCTCCATTCATTACACTTACTAACTTTACTGTTACTATAAGGATTGACATTCAGATTTCTTTGTTAGTAATGGTACATCCAAACAAATCACAAATAGTTAAAACCTTTGATATACCAAGGGTGTGCTGACATTCTGACTGAGGGTTTGCAATCAGTTAGTGGCATGCTGTTAACTCCAGCTGTGTCCACACACCACATGTTTACAGCTGGGTTTGTAATTCCACTCAGCTTCAGTGTCATACTCGTGTTGGAGAATGAGGATTCTCTTACAAGTCTGGATCAAATCCTCATTTTACAGGAGAACACATCTCTCCTCACGCTCCCAGGCTGCCAGTAGCACTTCCAGCCCCTGGCTGCTCTGGGTGCACAAGATGCTACAAATTCCCTGAGCACTGCACCCAGGGTGCTGATGAGAGCACTGAGGCAGTGCTTGTGAGTTATAATTACAATGGCAGAAGAATCTTTGTTGTAAATAACTATTTGGAACTCTGCCATAAAGAGAGAGCCCATTGTTAGCTTCTCAGCTGGGAGGGTAAGGACTGAGAAAGGCACAGGAGCACCTGGTGCAGCCTTTCCTGGGTGGTTCCTCAGCTCCCTTGGCCTTGATAAAAGCCCAAACAGGCCTGTAAAAAGGCATTCTCCTGACAGTGTTAATGATTTGCCATGCTTAGCAAGTTTTTGGTGTTCCCAGCCCCAGTCTAGAGCTGGGGGGAGCAAGCCCTGAAGCTGCTGGAATTCTGCTCTCCCAAGGAATAATGCCATGTCTGCCAGGCCTGTGAGCTGCTGCTTGAAGCATGTGCAGCAGAGCAAACAATCACCATGCAGGGAGGAAAATCACTCAGGACCTGTTCAAGAATAAACAAAATTATTAATGTTACTGTACCTTATGCCAACATCCTGCTACTGGCAGTCCGTCTGGTCCCTGCAAAATTCAATTTACAGATTCAGTTTTCCTGACAGTGACTCAAGTGTCAGACCCAAAAACCTCAAGCTCATTGGTCACAATGAAAGGCTTAGCATCACTGTTAATTACCATGCAAAACCCATTTGCTGTATATGCACAAACATGAATATGCAGGCAATGTAATCCATATGTCACGCACAACACAAAATTAAATACACCTCAGGGGAAAATAAAATAAAGAATTGGAAATCTACACTTTTTTCCTTTAAACAAAGAAAATGTGTACAAATAGATTTGAAATCACAGTTCATCAACTTCATAATCTGCTTTATAAGGTAGTGTATTTTGCAATCAGACATATATATGGAAAGCATGATGTGGGAATGTAATTTTTGTTAAAATGTGCTTTTCTGTTTGGGGGAGGTGATGTAGGTATTTTTTTCCTAGATGGTATCCTAATTGTGTTAAATTTGATCCTGCAGTACTTAGTTTCTTTAAGGAGTCTTGAGTTGCTGAACTGAGAATAGGATGAGTTGTGGACTATGCAAAGGGAGTGAAAATATTTGTCATGTTCCGCTGGAGATACAAGAAACATACAACAATCAGAAAGCCAGAAGAGCTCTGACTCCAGGAGGAGAACACTGGAAAGGAAGGAGCCCTTCGAAGAGGAATGAGCTATGTATGACCAGCTCTCTCCAGACACCTCAGAAGAAATAGCTGACTTCTGCTGCCTTTCCTGATGCTGGATTTGTTTAAGGCTCTTGGATCTCCAATTCCATGAATTTCTGCATGTAGAGCCACAGAGAGCACACAGGCACTGACCCTTCCCTCAGAGCCACCTCCAGACTCACTGGGGCTGGGAGGATGTGGATGCAGCAGAGAACTGCTAGTGCAAATACAGGTCAAAATGCAATTTTACATTTTTTACTGTAATGTTAGTCATCACATTTTTTTGTATTCTGTATTGATTTTATATGTAAAATAGCCTATGCCCAATAAAACAGATGCAGTGAAGTAAGGTAACCCTCTCCAGCTACTCAGAGTGTAAGCAGTCATGCTTTCCTGTAACTTTTCCTTAGTTAGAAAACACATTTTTTTCTGCAGACACAGTCAATATTTTGATCCAAAGCTATTAAAAAAAGGGTAAAACATGTACATTTGCCAGAGTTGTCTGGTGTGATGGGTACAGGGGACAAGGTGCAGGGTGGCTGTTTGACCTAAAACATGCTGACCTGCTGTAAAGGTCACCCTAACACTGATGGTCAGGGGGTTTATCTGTGTCCTGAGCTATTTCTCCTTCTTATTTTGGCCATCATAAAACTCCACAATTTTCTACCATGTTTTACTTGAGTGACTCCAAAAAGACTCTTCATGGCTGTATGTGGGGCTCATGCTGATGCTCCTGGACTTAAAACCCAACAAGCCTCCTCTGCACCCTGGGCTGCAAAACAAAATCAACATTTCATCCAACCTGCAGCTAACCAGGAAGATGCACAAGAGCTTTACTGACTGGTCATGTTGTAGTTAATTGGAGGAATGCAGTCAATTGGAGGAATCACCTATTGCAGTTTACAATGCCTTCAGCAGAGATGGGTCCTGTGATTTCTGTGTAGTTAAGATGGGAGATGCTTGGGAAATAGAACATCTCTGGGGAGTAAGTAAGAAGTTAGAGCAGGCCTGCTATTAGGAATTGGTTTCTTGGACACATCTGAAAGTAATTTAACTTTTTGAAAGAGAAACTGCTTACTGCCCTTTTGTTTCTCTGAGGACAACTGCAAATCATCTAACATACAGCATTTTCTATGGTTGAAAAAATGAAAATAAAACAATGACCTCTCCTAGCTAGTGGTGCAGAGCCCTTTTGGGGAGCAGAGCACAAACCTTCCTGCATAAGCACTGGAGCCAACCTGAGCTCTGGGCAGAGCTCTGTGCTGGCACAGCAAAACCTTTCTGGTGCCCAGAGTGCCAGTGGCCCTGCTCTGCAGCTTTTCAAACCCCAGCTGGGGATGGGACTCAGGGCTGCAGCAGCACAGGCACAAGGGGAACCAAACTGGGCTATGGGTACTGAGAGAAACTTTGAGCATCTGTTACCAGAGTTTGAGCATCTAAAAAATGTTTGAAAACATCTAACTTTGAGCATCTGTTACCATAAAGGGACTGGCATCCCCTGTGTGATCTCCCATGATTTATACTCATCTAAAATCATTTTAACTGAGGAGAAGAAGGGACAACTCATTGGCATCCTTCCCCAAATGCCAGAGTGAAGCATTGCAGCTTTGCTGCCCTGTGTCTTTCCTCTTCCTGGAGGGGTTTGCTCCTGGGGCCACAGCAGGAACACACACAAACCATGCAAGACACAGCAGATACTGTACCAAAGGGCAGGGCAGGCTCAGCCCATCCAGGCCTGCCAAACCTGGGTCCCTTTTGCTGCCTGCAATGCTATGATCTCCCTGTTTGGAAAAATAACTGCTTGTTGAGAATGACAAAGGAATACAGGAGTTACACAGACAGACAGCCATGTTTCAGCACAGGGGGAGGAGGATGGGTCTAGAGCTTCACAGCTCCATTTCTGATGACACAGCAGTCAGCAGAGTGGTTTTATGGTAGGGAATTCACACGACATGCAGAGTCTGTCACCTGGGAAATATCCTCTGTACACAAACCAGAGGTTCACATTTGTAAAAGTGCAGTTAAAGAGATAAAGGGTAAATCACCCAACATGTAAAGAGAGGAAAAAATTAATTGCAGCTCACATTCAATCTCCAGGCAAAATAAAGCATGTTGACTAAAGGAGCTTATTGCTGGTTAGTGGAGCTACACAGCAGCCTTGGCTGCCATGGCTGTGCTCAGAGAGTGAGGAAAAGTCACACATTCAGAGAAGAAATGGGGTTTGAATTGTCATGGAGCAAGCAGCTGGCACTCTTAATTAGGTGCTTCTGGACTAAGTTCTAAACTGCTACATTTAAGCGCTTTCAGTTCCATATTTGATACTTCTCATCCTGCAGTTCCAAAGCACTTCAGGGAGAGGACCTCTCTAGTTTTAGTCATTATATGAGAAACAGTAGCAAAAAGGAGGCAAATTTTACCAGGTCAAATAACTTTTTATAAACCACTCTATTTTTTTTTTTTTTTTTTTTTTTTGTGAGCTCTATCTAATGAATGAAAGGCTCTATCTAATGAATGAAAGGCTCTGGAAGTGGACTTGGGGGATGCAGCTACCCCAGGCTCAAACAGCCAGGAGGTTTCCTGGAAAACCCAGTGGGGTGAGTCTGGGAAGGGACAGCTCTGAGCCACAGGCACACAAACCAGGGGAGGTTTCTCCTTCCAGGGGCACTTCCTGACAGCCTGGGGAGCTCCAGCTCATACATCATTTATGCTTGGCAGAGCTGTGATGCCATCAACCCCAACATGCTTCCCCTGGCTCATCCCTCACTCAGTTTGCAGGGATGAAGGGAAGGATGGAGCTGGCCTTGTTTTCAGATCAGCTCCCATCCCCTGCACCCAGTTACTCCCTGATTTCAAACATGTCCAGAATCCAAGCCAGCAGCATCACACTATCTCCTGAAGAGCTCTACTGAGGTCCATTGTTCCTGACTACAATAAGAAGGTCTTCACACAAAGATGCTTTATTTTTACTGCTGTGGCTTGCTCCCAATCTGGCCAGTGAGGAGCCTTACAGCCAGCAGTGAACTTCCAGCAGTGCAGATAAACCATTAAGAAAAGTGAGAAAACAATAACCATCTGCTCTGATTTACTGCAAAACAGAGAACTCCCAAATCCTCCCTGGCTGCAAAGCTGTGACTCCTTCTCAGCCCCTCAGCCTGTGCTTAGGATGAGTGCAATGGAAAACTTACCACAGGACAAGGCTGGTCCAGTCCAGGGGGGCCTGGTTCCCCCTTCTGTCCTTTGGCCCCTTTCCTCCCTGGTATTCCTCGTTCACCCTGTCAGCACAACAGGAAGATTTCAGGAGGAAGAAACACCTTTGGTTCATGTCTCACAGCACTCACAGAGCCCCAATCCTCACCCAGAGTAAGGACACTTGCACTGGTGTGACCTCAGCTGAGCAGTGAAATCACTGTGAAAATCTTCAGTTAAAGCTGGGTGGAAATATTGCAATGGATAATTTTATAATAGATTGACTGAATGAGCAGTTTCTGCTGGAGCCCAGGTTGGTATCTGACAGAAAATGGGAGCAGCAGCTTCCAGCTCAGCTGGGCTCCTGGCTCCACCTGGGTGCCCCTTTGTTTAAAGGTCCCTGTAACAAAACCTTTGACTTGGATCCATTTTCAAGGTCTGTAAACCAAGATCAGTGATTCTGTGCAACCTGGAGCTGTCAGGCTGCTCCACTTCCCCACAATGCTCAGGCTGGGCTGGGGAGGGGGCAGGCTTGCAAAAACCCTTCCAAGAGGGTAGGAATTAACTGCCTGTCCTGCCCTGGGCTGGGAAATTGCAATTCCCTGGGCTGCACAGAAGGCCTTTCAGCAGTGGCTGCCAGGGCAAGCAGCTCTGATGCCAAGAAGAGCAGCCTGTCCTGCCCCACAGCATCAGCACAGCCCTTCCCCACTCACCTTCTCGCCTCTTTCACTTCTCTCTCCTTTCTCTCCTCTGAGACCAGGGAAACCCTGTCACCACCATTTTTAGGTGGGAAAAAGGGAAAAAAAAAAAGGTTTGTAAGGGTTTTGTAAGCTTAGTGTGTGCATGGCTCAGTTCAACCTGAGCCAACTCCAGCCATCAGCCTGTCCTGCCACAGTGAAGAATGACATTTTCTCAATGTTGACTTGGTATGTCAGCAATTCCTTGGAAAAATTGAGTGCTTCACCACACCCCAGTAACATTACTGTTAACATTATATTATTATTATTACAACATATGCTATTCTACCAGCTATTAGAAATTTTCATGTCACTGAATACAATACAAACATTCTCAGCTGGAAAGGGAAGCCCTGGCAGCACCTTCAGGTGAGCAGCTCCACAGTGCAGTGGAAGCAGCCCAGCAATGGGCCTGAATTCAGCCCTTCCTACAGCCATCATTCCATGGCCTTTGTGTATACAGTGTTAGCTGCATGTTTTCCCAACAATCTCAAGTTAGGTGTGTATTACTTGTGTTTCTACCACAAATAATTCATGGTTTCCATACTCACATCCAATCCTGGCTCCCCTGGCTTTCCCTGCAGATGCAAAAATGACAATTAGAACGTGCTGTGTTGAGCTTGGTGCTGCAGGCAAAGTAAGATCCAGTTGGTTTAACATGGCAGTGAGGGCAGGGCTCACCCAGGAGCTCAGGGACTGGAGGCTGCTCCTTTGCCACCCACCAGGGCAGGGCTGCTCCAGCTCTGCGGCTCTGGCTGGACTCCCCACAGCAGGATTTTACACCCCTATTTTAGGATTGCACCCCAGTGTCCCTGCTCCTCTCCCACACCCGTGATTACCTTTTCTCCTTTGGTGCCAGGTAATCCAATGAGCCCTGGAGCACCAGGGAGACCCTTAAATTAAAAACAAACAAAGCATTGGGATTGTTTCCTGTGAGAGGTTTCTGTCAACAGCCAGAAATGAGATTTGGGAAAACAACTCACAGCAGGTCCGGTGTCACCTTGGTCCCCCTTCTCCCCACTGTCACCTTTCTCTCCCTTGGCACCATCCAGACCCTGCAGACATGAAATGGATCAGCCCAGGATCAGCCCCCCATGCACCTTCCAAGCCCCTTCCCTGGGGTCCCACACCCACACTGCTGCTGAGGTTTTGCTCCTCACCACATCATCTAAGAAAACAGCTGAAAATACAGGTTTTAAGCCTTTTGGTTTGGAAACCCTGGCTCTCACCAGCCCTCAGGACTCTGTGCTGGAGGAAGGGTTTGGATTGTAAATTCTTGGAAGGAAAAATGGCTTGTTTTCCAAAATGCCAACTGCTGAACAGTAACCAAGGGATGTGTTGTGACAACAGGGACAAAAAACTCAGTCTCCAGAGCTGACAGGCTTTTGTGAGCCTGTAAATAATGCACTAGCAGCTGGGAAACTGGGTGACATTTAATTTATTGACTTACTTTAGGCCCCTGGATTCCTGGAGGACCCTGTGGGAAAGACAGTGGTGCATTTGAAAAAACCACAGAATTTAAAATCATATCCAAAACTTTCCTTCCCAAACAATTTCTTGCTCAAATTACAGGCTGACAATGCTCAAATACTTATTTTCAAGACAGGTGGCAGTTTATTTTGTTCTCCAGTATCAAATCAGGGGGCAGGGGAACTGAAAAGGAGTATTTTGTGTAACACAGGACAATAAAACTCTGCAACACAAGCTCTGGGGAGTGAGAGCCCCCAGAAACTTTGCTGAAGAAAGTGACAGGAAGCTCTGGGAGTGTCATTGTGCCACCACAGCAATCCACACCAGGGCAGGGCTGGGATACCCCCCAGGCTGTGAATGCCACCTGAAATGCCACTGCTTTTGAAGCATGCTCTCTCAAGGTGAATCTTGGACCCAGCAGAGACATCCCAGCCTTCCCAATGTCCCTGACAGCTCCTTTTGGAGCATTGTAGGCACCAAACCCTTTGATGTCTCCATCAAAAATGCTTTGTGTGTTCATCACCACCTGCACCCTCTCCCAGTGCAGCTGATGGCAGAAAATGTCATGATTTGGGTGAGTTTAGGGGAATAGAGACACTGTCATGGTGGGGAACAGATTTTCCATCCCACAAGATTTTATCTTCTCCCAAGGAACAACTTGGATTTTTGCAAAATGAGCCGTAAACTCTGATGCACTCTCCTAAATTGGGTGCTTTCATTTCTCCAAGGACAGATCAGACTGTAGCACTTCCCTGTTTTTTTTTTTTTTCCCAGATTCAAAACAGCCCAGAATGATTAAACAGAACAAACCACCCTTGTCCCTTATCACATACAACAATAAATCTGCAGGAATCACTTCAGTCCTACCATAGGGCCTGGTAATCCAGGGGGTCCAGGCTCAGGGATGATCTGCAGAAGGGAATTTAACAGCACATTAACAAGGCTCTCAGGAGTGAAAATCTCACAAAGCCCAGAATCATCATTTAATGCCCAATTGATTACAGCAGCAGCATCCAATATCTCAACCATCAATACAAAACCTAAATAACTTTGTAGTGCTAAGTGTGTGAACTGCTCTTCTCTAAGGAAAAAAACCCATTTAGACACTTGTAGAAAACTTGGGTTTTGCTGATGGATATGGGACTGGTGGGTGTATCCTGAACCCCAACTTTGCCTGGTCCTGTGTCATGGAAGAGACTGTATATTGCCAAGATCTTACATGATTATTCTGCAGACATGGTGACCCAGTGTCTCCTTTTTCTCCTTTGTCTCCTTTTGGCCCTTCTGCTCCCTGAAAGGTAAAAATGTGACACTGATGTAGTACATCTTCCAGGAGAGGAAAAATGAGAGAGAAATAGGTTTGTGTCCCTCCAAACAGCAGCCTTGGCTCAAGCAAAGCTCGTGGTCCTCTCTGGAGGACCTTGAAGAAATATTTTCTCCTCCTTGATACATTCTGAATGAGCTGATTAGAAATGGAAATTCAAAGCTCCACAGTAAGGTGGTGTGGAGAAGTCATTGCTTAAATCAGCCAGCCCAGCCCCATTCTGAACATTTGCAGAAATGAGTGCATGAAAGAACCGAGGGCAGAGGGGCACCAAAGGGACGTACCGGGGGACCTGCCGAGCCCATTTCTCCTGTCTCTCCTTTCTGCCCCATGGCCCCCATGCTGCCCTGGTCACCCTTTGCTCCTTTGGGACCCTGCAAGTTGAGAAAATACAACACATTTAGAAGAAAACTCTTAAAATAACTCCCCACAGCAGCCACTTCTGCCTCTCTGCTGTTTCCCTCCGCATCGCGAGCTCACTAGAACATGTTTTAACATTCAACCTCACAGATGCCAATTTTGAGGGTGCAGCAGAATTTGGCTGGGCTGCAGGAGGGATTGCAGCCATTTGGGGTTGGGAAGGTTTACAAAAGGATTTGAGACAGCATCTGATGAGCTGCTTGTGAAAGGAGCCCCCTTAGCTCGGCAGGCACGGCCACAGCAGCATCAGCACGCTCAGAGCAGAGCAGAGCAGGGGCTGCAGGCACAGGGCCATCGATTCAGGGAGTCACAGCTGCCCCTCCACAGCAGAGCTCACTCCTGGCACGCTGGATTTGCTTTTCAGACACACAGGAAGCTTCCCTTTCATTTGGCTCCTGGCAAGGCCTCGCTCGATCCAGCCGTGCCTCACTCACCTTTTCACCATCCGCCCCAGGTGGACCTGGCAAGCCCAGCTCTCCCTGCAGGGAGACAAACAAAGGGGAGCCCATGGTAAATTAAATTAAAGATTCATCCTGGGAAAGCATTGTGTAAGGAAATTAGTTATTCATACACAACTGTTGTGGTTATGGGTTTGCCACTGCCAAGCTTAGGACCAAGGAGGTGTCAGTAACCCACCAGCATCACCAGCTGATCTGGATATTGGCACAGAGACCTCAAAAGGCACCAAAATCCTGTCCCATCCTATCCTTTCAAGAGATTCGTTCCTACAAATTACATTTTTCTTTTGAAGAAGCAGCTGGCTGCAGGTTACAGACTCTTGCTTGTGAAGCAGGAGCACAGCAGGGCCTAGGACACAGCACTGGGACAGCAAAGAACACACAGGAAGGGTGGGAGTGAGGGTGGCTCAGCACAGCCATGGGACTGCAGCCCCTCTCACAGCTGCTTCTCCCACTTCTGCCTCCTGCCACAGACCAATGGGGCACTCTCAGAGGAGCTGGGATTTTGTCTGTCAGGTTGAACTGGGACTGGACTCGTTTCTGGAACACCGTCCTCTGGAAGAAGGCCAGAGACAAGTCAACAAAATTTTGGCTTTTTTGTGAAAGCCACTGTTTTTTCAGCCAGAGAAAGGGCTAAATAGCACACACAGCCTCAAACTCCTCTGCAGGCAGCTTCAACTGCCTGATTTTGGCTTGGGAGACTCCTCATGGGGAGCTACTAAGGACTCCATGTGTAGCTTGGCAGAGGTCAGGCTCACCTTGGGACCTGGAGTGCCTTGGGGGCCCGGTGGCCCTGGGGGACCTGGTGGACCCTGAAACACAAACAAAACAGGTTTGGTGATGACTGGCATGGACATGGCACGCTGTGCTCGTGCTGTGGGAATGAGCACTCCCAGCCATGATCTGCCAGAGACACTCAGGTGAGTGGGATTGCCTGAGCACTGAGATGAGCTCAGAGCTGCCACACAGTGCCCAAGGTTCCTCTGCCACGGGGCTGTTCATGCAGAACACAACACAGTGGGAGCCAGTCAGGTGTACAGCTGCAAAGACATGGGCTGAGAGGCAAAATGGCTTTAGCTGGAGGTGGCACCCCAATCTGATGGTCTATTTTTGCATCCTGCCCACTCCAGCCAGCCAGCCTGGGAAGCAGCATCCTGCTGAAAACAGTGTCAGCCAGCCAGGGAGATGCAATTAAAGAGGGAAAAAAGGAGTTTGTGTGAGCACTAACAACAGGAAAACCTTGTACACTTAAAGAAATTATTTTTCCTGGGCACTGCTGGATGCAAAGACCACAAACCACCTTGAGATGAACAAATATTTTCCAACTTGCAAATTATTTCAAGCAGCAAAATTTGTGGTCTTGCTCAGATAGAAGCCAAACCAGCATCATATCCTGGAGCACCTTTCTCCATGGCTGCACACTCAAATGCTGTTACACTTAGTCACACTGGAAACATTTTCAGAGCCTTGTCCTTGAGACAGGTCAGTGCACAAACACTGCAAACAGCGAGTAAGCAGGAAAACAGCAAAGTTAGTGAGGTTCAGTGGTGTGCCCCTCAGCAGTCTCTGCATGCAGAACAAGGGACAGGGTCTGGGTCCAGCAGATGAAGGCTCCAGACATTTGATGGAGCCTCTCCAAGCACTGCACTCCACTCCCAAAGCTGCGTGCCACGCGGACATCTGGCAAACGGGAATTACCAGCACTTTGTGTATCCCTGCAGCCTGTTATAAAACAATTAGCATGGTTCTCAAATATGCCTGTAATTAAGTATTTCTTCTATACAGCTTATTTCTTTATAATGAAAAGGTCAGGGCAGTTGGGCAGGTTAAGGCTCAGGTGTCCTTTCCCTTCCTCCCACATCCCAACTGCTGCCATCGACTCCGCCACCGCTTTTGCTGCTGCACCCTGAATATCCTCAAACCCCAGAGGCAATCTGCTCTTTCTTCCCTCCCAACCAGCTCTGTGCCAAGACAGAGACCTCAGGAGGAGACACAGGACAAGGGTGAACACATTGCCACCATGGATGTCAGTCCTTTCCCATGAGCTTTGGCACAGGCTCACCTTGAGCGCGTCCAGGATTCGGCCGTCGTAGTCGATCACGACGGTGTCTCCCTGTTCCCCTTTCAGCCCAGGGGGACCCTGCAGGTAGGAATGAATCCTGGATTAATCCCACAGCATGCAGAGGTGGCTGCTAGGAAAGCAAAGACCTGACACGCAGCGTTTGGGGGTTATCACCTTACAAACACCATGGATTTAACCAGCCCTTAGTCTGACAGCTGGAACTGTCAAACCTCAAAAGGCCATCAGTTTGTGTAATGGAGAAGAGCATAAAAATCCTCACTTGATTACCCCATTCCCAGCTTTCCTCTTGCAGAAAAAAGGGTCACAGAATGGTCATGAGTATAAGAAAATTGGACTTGGCTGATTTCCCATGCCAGAATTCAATACCTGTGCAATCATTTGTTTAAATATGTACCATCTCTATTTTCTGACACTGAATAGATCCTGAAGCAATTCATCCACATACTAAGCAGAAAGAGGTGGTGGGGAACAGCTAAGGTTGAGAAAAATATTGTTCCAAAATGAAATCCTGAACATCCATACCCGGGGTCCAATGGAGCCAATTCCTCCCTTCTCACCAGGTTCACCCTGAAAATCAAAAATCATTTTTCAATGAGATCAAGTAAAATATAAAATATTTATCCTAAAAATACTGTACCCACCCATAAAGATATGCCTTAGATTAAGAAAAAATTATGACACCAACAAAGGACTGCTTCTCCTAGCAGAAAATAGATTTGACCTGAGAATGAATATATTTAGCAAAAAACAATGTTGGTGTAACAACAAGAGGAGTAAGAGGAGATCTCATTGGAGGGGGAGGGGAGTGGCCAGCTCTGGGCTGTGCTGTTCTCCAGCTCCTCTCCCTGTCCCTGTGCTGAGCTCCATCTCTTTGTGCTGCATCCACATGGCTCCCTTTGCTTCAGGCTCAGTTTTGCATGTGGAAAGTTTCAGCTGAGATGTTTAAGCCATTTTCAACGGGGAGTTTAAGGAAAAGTTGTGCCAAATTGTTCCTTTTTTCTTCCTCTTTTTTATTTTTTCCCCCACCTCTCATTTTCATAAATTTTTGGGTTTTTTTAATTGGAGGGTTTTAAAAAGTCATAGTACTCTTACAGTAATGACCTGAAATTCTGTTCAGGATTCAAAAGATGTCCCATTTGGTCACACTCATTTGTTGCTGACCAAATTAAAGCTCTCCAAAAAGTAAAAATGGTAAAAATGTATAGAAAAAAAACTAAATTCAATCAGCACTGCTACTATGGTTCTAGAAAAAAGTTTACTGAAGTTCACCAGAGCCCACTTTCTTCCTCACATACACACTGTCTTGCCCAATCAGATCATAACTCTTTAATACAGAAAATATTGGTGCATCCAGATCCTACTAAACACAAAGCAGCTGAGGGGGTAAATAGCAGCCCATGGATGCTGTCTGGGGCTCCTCAGCACCACCCAACAAACCCAGATAATTTTATCTCTCAGCAGCTTTGGAGGTCAGGACAGCTCACAAGTGCTTGGGGCTCTGAAGCAATTCCACAGCCATCAATAACATGGGATCAAAATGTGATCAGAATTCTACAGTTTTTGAGGAAAAAGGCAATTCAGTGGAAAATGTACACGTGGATGACTTACAAGCTCTTGTACTGATCTCTGCTTGAATCCAGCTTTCATCAAATCACCAGAAAAAGTTCAAACACTCCTAATCTCACTTTTTTATGTCAGTTTTGGCACTTTATGGGGCTTTTAGAAGGCAAATTCCCAAAACACCTCCTCAGCTGGAATGGCCTGCTTCAGCAGTGCAGTGCCCAGACCTGCAGCTTCTCCTTACCTTCAGTCCTGGGAAGCCATCTGTGCCATTCTCTCCCTTGGGACCCACACTTCCTTTTTCTCCCTGAAAACAAAACCCTTTAGACAAATGCTGTACAGGGAGGATGGAGAAAATATTTCTTCAGGTTATCATTTTCTTGATTTATCTTCACTTTACATACACGAGGGAGCAGAGCTCCGCTTTCAGCTGTGAATCACATCCCCTTGCCCAGGTGCAGATGGGGAGGTTTTGAGATAAAAGTGAAGCTTTCAGAATCAGCACTTTGGCTGCAGGTGGTGTGTTCAGCCATGAAGCTGGCCCCAAAACCACAGCATACAATAATACATTCACAGTGTTTTGTGTTGGAAAGGGTCTTGAAGATCATCCAGTCCCACTTCTGCCATGGGCAGGGACAACTTCCACTGTCCCAGATTGTTCCAAGCCCTGTTAAACCAGGCCTTGGACACTTCCAGGGATGGGGCAGCCACAACTGCTCTGGGAAACTTGTGCCAGGGCCTCACCACCCTCAGTTTTTTGATCTTTTTCCACACCAGAGGAGAAATGTTTCTCATCCTGCCCCAGCTGGTGCAAAAACAGCAAAAGATGCTGCCCAACATGTGCATTAGAGGGACACAGAGCAGAACATACCTTAGGGCCCACTAGTCCTGGTTCCCCAGGGATCCCATCATCACCCTGATGGAACAAAACACAAAAAGTGAAATACACAGGCCTTGGACACACTCAGTAGGTTCCAACACATCATTTGACCTCACTGAGTGTTGCACAGACGCAAACCCACTCAGGTTTGCAGACAACCAGGGCAGAGCAGCACAAAGGAGCACAGGAGGCTCCAGCGTGGTCCCTGCTCCCACCCAGCCCTGCCTCCCTGCTGCCGGGAATGTGGATGGGCATCTTCCAGAGTTTGCTTACAGCAGGTCCTGGCAAAGATCTTCTCCCACCTTCAACAGAAATTAACATTAAATTCCTTAAGGCTTTTTGGGTCCCAAAGACCTCCTGTAGCTGTTTCATGGACTTCATCACAAGCCACCAACACCCTCTGCCAGGAGGAGATTTTCTGGTTTTCCTTGTGCTTTTTGTGGTTCTCCTGGAGCAATGCCACTTCATGGATGCTGACAAGATTAGTTTTACCAGCCAGTTATGAAATGTTAAAACCAAATCCTGGCCTGAAAAACACCTATAGCCACCCCTGTTTTGGGCCAAATCAGTAAAAGGGAAAGGCTGGGCCCTGTCAGTGCTTTGACTTCTCTTAAAGGCAGAGATTTATCCACTTCTCCACTGGGTTGGAGAGCTTGGGCATGTGAATCTCTCACAGTCTTCAATGCCACACCCCAGCAGCATTCCTGGCCCTCCAGGGGACATTTCCCATGGGACTGCAGTGCTGCTGGGTGATGGCCACCCCAGGAATTCCAGACACTTCCCTGGGCAGAGAACATCCTCCAGGCACCTCTTGGTCCATTGAATTATTGGAGAAAAAGGGCTGAGACCTACAGCTTTGCTTGGCATTTGCTCTTTTGTTCTTTGTCTCTTGGGCAGATGTGGCTGCAGCTTCTGGCTTGCTAGTGGAAATGAAAGCCAGGCTGCAGGCACAGCCATGCCCAGCCCAGGATGGTGTGAGGGAAACTGAGGGAACACAGGGAAGGGTTGGTATGGACAGCCATGACCACAGCCTCTACACCAGTCCCTGTCAATGGTTTCCTGAGCCAAGCACAGAGCAAAGCAAAGGGGAAATAAATAAATAAATATATAGTTAAAACAAATAAATATATAATATATAATATATAATATATAATATATAATATATAATATATAATATATAATATATAATATATAATATATAATATGCAATACATAATATATAATATATAATTAGTATAAATATACTAATAATGCTAATACTACTACTAATACTAAAATAATAATAATATTTTTTAAATCACCATTTTACCTTTTTCCCCTGGATGCCAGGCTCACCCTTCAGCAGCAACATCAACAGAAGAGAAAGAAATTTAGGAACATGACAGAAAATAAGGCGAATTATGTAGGTAATCAAAATTAATTGTAAAAATAAAATATTTGGCTTGTGCTGATCATATTTATCCTCCCCAAATGCACGAAAGCACATTCCCACAGCACAGCAGATTGCAGCCCCCTCCAGCCCCATTTCCAGTTTTGAACATGGGCAGTGGATGTGATATTGAGGAAGTGACACATTCAAACATTTACACTCCAATCAATGCCTTGGAATTTTATATCTGATATCTATCAATAGGTTCCAGTCCACTGCAAAATGCTTATTTTCATCCCCACCCCTCTTATGAAGCATGATTTCAAGAATTAATGTTAAAATTAGACAGATTATTACCCACCTTTGGTCCTGGAGGGCCTCTGGCACCCTGTTGAATATGAGTAATAGATATACTTGTTTGACAACAGAGTAAAACAGAATAAAAACATTTCTAAGAGTATTTTAATTCCAAGAAAAAAAATTACACAGATGTCAACTTCTCATCTTCCCTTACAAATAGAGCTGTCTTTGTTCTCTGTGCTCCCAGTAAATAATATCCTTTCATGGCTCATGTATTTTATGTATAATAAACACCTTTTTATCCAATGTAAACCTTAGCAGTTTGGAGTTACAATGCCAGGTGGCTTCAGAGGGGCTGGAGTCAGGATACAGGAGCACCACATCCCTCCAGAAATGCCCAGAGGACACAAAAACTGGCCTCTCTTCTCCCCAGGGCACAGGTAGCCCTGGACAAACATCCATTTTAGGGCACCTATAAATCTGTGAGGGGTTTTTTGTGTCTGTAAGCGACACAAACCCCCTTGCTGCAGTGAGCTGAAGGGTGATGTTCAGTGGGGGTGAGGGGCACACACAGAGATGCTTCTGGGCAATACTGACCATGACTCCATCCTCCCCTGGCTCGCCTTTGAAACCCTGCAAAAAGATGAAAATACCAACATTGAAACCATTACCTCCCATTCTCTGAAATGCTCAGCGACAATTTTCAAGGGGAATGTTCAGTGTTCAGTGCTCAATGTTTCAATGTTCCACTGTGTTAAGCTTTAGCCTATTTTTTTACTAAATAAATTGCCAGTGGTCTTCAGGTCATCCAAAGGGTATGGACTGGGGAAGAGATCTCCTGGCTGTGTGAGTTACAACCAGCACCTGCAAACTCACGCCCCAGGCCCAGCTCCTGGCTCCAAAACTGAGATGGAAGGTTCCCTCCTGCTCCCCTGCCCACACCTCAAGGCTTTGCTCTGTGAGCAGCCTGTGGAGCCCAGCAGTGGCTCAGGCTGGGCTCAGTGGCTCTGGTGGCAGCTCTGGGGAAGGGGACACCCTTCACCCTGCTGTCCCCGTGGGGTGGAGCTGACTGGCACAAGCTTGCTGCGCATCTCCCGTCCTTACAGGGGAGCCCGGGGGTCCTCTTGGGCCATCCTTTCCCGTGTCACCAGGAGGCCCCCGGGCACCTGGGGGTCCTGGAGGACCAGGGGGGCCCACGGCTCCATCTCGACCTTGATCACCCTGGAAGAAGTTCACACAGACATGGTGAGACGAAGCAGTGTTGGCAAGGGGCGCTCTCAGGGTGTCCACAACACATGCACTGCATCCCTGGCCTCTGCTGCCCCAGAGAAATTTAACTGCAGCTTCCAGCTGTTTAACTTTCAGCTTTCCCAACTGCAGCAGTGAAAAATCATAGTGAGCTCACCAAGGTCACCAATTTATGCCATTTGGAGCTGGTTCCTCAACCAGGATTGTGCTCAACAACGAGATTTAATCTGCTTAATCCCTTACCCAGTGACTGTCTGCATGGAATCCACCAACCCAGAAGCACCCAGAGCAGCCCAGGCCCACACCATGCTGGCAGGGAGCATGCACACACTGCCATGGCTCAGTGCACCACTCCAGAAAACCACACAAAAAGTGGCACTGCTTAATGTCACCCTCTACAGCCAGCCACAGTCACACAAACCTCCCCAGCTTCTCACACCCTGCGGATTTGGGTGCCCAGAGCTCACTGTGTCCCTGCAGGTCTGTGGGTGCCGTTCCCAAGGGGAGCACCCCATGGGGATGATTCCAGGCTGGGAATCACTCCTGGCCCCCCAACAGCCAGCCCAGCCCAGCCCAGCCCAGCCCCGGGGCCCAGCCTGGCCCATCCATGGGCTGCACAATGGGAAGGGCAGGCTCATAAATCTTGTAGCAACATCTGGGAGAGTCACCACCGAGGGCTGGGTTTAATATGCGGTCCATCCTCAAATCAGGGACAAGTGTGGGATTTTTCAGAAGTCCTTAAGTGACTTAGCAGCACAAGTCCCATGGCCTTTCAACAAGATCTGGGCTCCTAAATCACTTGCATCCTTTTTTTAAAAACCCAATTGTAAATGCTGAACACTGCAACCAATTATGTCGAGTCTCCCACTGAATTTTTCCTAATTACAATGTCCCATTTAGAGTTCAAGGATTTAGATTACTCTAGTTTTAATGCATTTTATTTTACAATACCAACACTGTTTATATCAAATTTACAGGACTTTGCTGCTTGATTCTCAAATCTCACAAAGAACCAAATGCTAAAACCCATTAGTTTTATGTCCCTTTACTCTGCCCCCTAAATTCCAATGGGATGTCAGTTAAACATGCTCCCAACAAGCATCTCTAAACACAGCCATGGTCGTGGCAATTTAAAATAGCAACAGTCAGCCAGAAAGAGAAAGCAAAAGCAGCTCAATCACAGCAAACCAGAGGCAGCAGATTTGGAGTCTACCTTGAGCACTCGCCGGCTAAAGACAAGCTGATCATTAGCCAGAAATCCATGACTGAGGTGGGGAAAAACCATCTATATCCAGGGAGAGTGGGAGGCAGAAGAAGAAAGAGCAGCAGTTTAAGATGAAAGCACAGCAGAAGAGAGAGTTTTAAAGGCTGCAGCAATATATAACATTTATTTATAATAATTAGTTGGTACATTAGAAAGTAATAGTCTAGGTAGACAACAGTGGGGTTTAAGGTTCTGGGTACACTGGATCTTTGTAACGGGACACAAACTGAGGGAAACAGTATTTTTTTTTCACCAGTTTACTGCACAATAGAACATTCAAAGCAGCTGGAGCAAGGATTCCCCTGCTGCAGAATAAAGAGTATTATTCCAATAAACCCCATAGGGGATGATATATCCCAGCATTTCCCTCTGACCAAATACTGTATTTGTTTTCAGAGGCTCAAATGAATACTGATGTATTCCCAGCCTGCAAATTGCACATAAATCTCCCAGATTTATATGATGCAAAAACAATGTATTTAGACTGTATCAGTAGTCTTTGCTATTGTGTTTTAGCCTTTCCACTCCTCTGTCTGGGGAGAAGCAGGAAGACATTTCCTTTCTCAGGACACCACGTGCATCTCCCTTTTCCCCATCCACCCATCCATAGGGAATCAAGAGGGTGGAGTGAAGCCACAAGAAGCCCTGTGGGAACACACAGCAAAGCCTCCATGAGGGTTTTTGCAGGTTTCTGAGGAACAAACCTATTTTGCAAATTGCCAAAGAGCTTTTAAACCTTGCACACCAATAACAGATAACCCCAAACCTCAATTTTGGGGGGAATAGTGCACTGGCAAGGCCACCTCCTGCCCAGCCTCCCAGTACAGATATTTTAACATCACCATGACAAGAAAAAAGGGAAGAAGTAAATTCAGAAAAAACAATCAACCCCAGAAAACAAGCCTCTACCAAGAATTTTTTCAAGATGTAGAGAGGGGCCTTAAGCTCAACACTCAGTTAAATGCAGCTACTTTCAGGAAGAACAGCACTGAAATACTGAGAAATTAAAATTAATGAGAACACTTGCACGTGGCCAGGACCTCCAAATACTACAGAAACCACCAAAAATACTCTACTGAGAGTAAAAGGGTTTGTGGTAGACAGAAAGGACACAGTTCTGTAGCTCATTATGGGCATAAAGTACAAAAAAGCATAAAAGTGGGATTTTTATGAAACCCCACAGAGCAAAACAGGAACTGAAATTTTTTTCTTGTCCCTCAGACTGGTGGGCATCATCCAAATAAGCACATTCCAAGCCCAGCCCTATCTGTTTTAATGGAAAATAACAATTTACATTTGCTCTGAGGCCAAACACACCATATCCCACTAAATCCAGCCATCACATATTTAATTTTAAACAGCTCCTGTTACAGATGGGCCCATGAGAGGTGAACAGCCCTGAGGGATGTTAAATAGAGAGACACCATCCCTGGTTCAGGACACATCCAGGCCCCAGGAGAGGGGTTAAGTGTGATGGAGCAACACATTCCTGCTCCACAGTTCCCAGAGCGTTGGGTTGCAGGCACTGGGCTCACAGGCTGCTGGGTCTGACCTCATCTAGCAATGGAATATTGGAGCACAGAAACCTTGAACACTGGTAATTTCCACCTTTAGAGTCCTCAATGCAGCCATTTCAATATAACACTCCAAAGTCAGCAAATAATAAAATAAAAGTATCCATAGGTGGCTGTGGAATGCCACAGAGAGCTCTGCAGGATGATTCCTGTGCTGGGTTTTTATCTTCAGTGTAAGCTTGGCCAGCAGTTAGAATTTTGCAGAAAACAAGGGAGCAAAAGCTCCTTTAGTGTCTGCACTGAGCTGCAGAGCTGCTCCAGCCACGCCAGTGCTTGGCCCCCAGCAGACACAGGAGATGCAGAAGCCACCCCCACCAGCCCTGGCCATGGGCAGGCAGTGCCACTGGGCCATGCAGACAGAGCAGCTCTCCCACTGCAGAATCTCATTTCCCCCTCTGGAGAGCAGAGCTGGTGCTGCTGCCACAGGCACTGCATCCTCTGGGCCAGATGTGCAGGGATCCCTCAGCCCCATCATTTGTCTGAACATCTCATCTGTCAGTAGGAACAAGATCACCCAGCTGAGTCCATAAATCCAGAGCAGCTGGCCCAGTGCCAGCTCAGGGAGCAAGTCAGGCTTACAAATCCAGCCTTTTCCAGGGGTGCAGCAATGTATTGGATTGGGAGAGAAGCACAGGCATGAACTCTGTGATTCTGTGACTCTCAATATCAGGGCACAGCTATCCCAGCCCCAGCACCATCCTGCTTCAACTCTCTCTATCCTCCCAAGAGCAGAGGGGCCCTGTTAGTGATTTCTCCCTGTAAATACACTTCCATGCATTCTGTCAGAACATTTGGGCACATTTATTCCCCATCCTGAGCAGGTGAGGGTGCACAGCATCCTCCCTCATGCTGCTTACAACAAGGAGCATTCAGGGATGAAGGTGACCCCAAGGAGGAAGGAGATGAAGGATGAAGGAGATGATGAAGGAGAACCCAAGGTGATCTTCTTCCTCAGCTTCCCAAAATCAGCCTCCAGCATCTCCCACCAGGCACACTCCAACATGCAATAATCTCTGGTTTTGTCCACGCTGCTGGCAGGTGTTTATTACACAAAGAGAAGCAGTGCAGACATGAACAGATTCAGTAGCTAATCCCTAATTGCCATCACCCCACTCCCACCACAGACAGCCCCTCCAAAGCCACCCCAAGGACTATTCTGTTTTAATCCATCATTGCTAATGATAGTGTTCCAGTGCTCCCTGACACACTCCATCCTCATTCCACAGCCCATGGACATGACCATTTACAAGGAAGAGGACACTGGATACAGTCCTAGTTATTTATCTTCCTGTTGATGCAGTGAGTTGCATTGACACATCTTTCAAGATCAAAATCAGCTAAACAAAGCAACCACTGAAACTTGAGGAGTAAGATAGATTAAATTCAGAAATAAGAAGTAATCTAGACCAGATGGTATTAAGAAGTGCTCCTATTGACAGCCCTGAGTGTTTGGAGACATAAAGGGAGCTATTTTCAAAGTCAGGCACCTGTTTTTAGGGCTACTTGTGCATGGTTCTGCTAGGCTTTTCTCTCTCTCTTTTCTCCCAAATTGTTTTTGAGCCTTTTTCTCACTCTTCTGCAAAAAGTCATAAATAAATCAAAAACTGAAGCAAAATCTGGAAAAATGCAGATCAGGACAAAATCTGCCCCCAAAACCCAGCACATTTTTCTTGGTAGGTGAAAACAAAGGAGAAGTGTTATTTACCTTGAGAGCTGGTGCCTGCCCAGACAGAGCCTGTCCCAGAACATGTCCTGCAGCAGGAGTGAATTCCCCAGCACCTGGCAGCACAGAGCCTCTGGAGCCTGAGCAGCATCTCCTCCAGCATCCCCGAGCTGCCAGCCCCAGAGTCACCCACAGCCCTGGCCAAGGAGTGAACCCAGGTCCCTGTGCTGCTGAATCACCTCTTAAAGGCTGTGCTCAGCCCGTGGGTGGGCACAGAGTGAGGCCTTGGCTGGGCCCCTCCCTCACCACACAGGCTGTAAATCCATCTGAGAAATTTTAGGGGCTCTCTGAGCCCCAGGGTGACATTTCCAAACACACCCAAGGCAGTTGGGAGCTGCTTCAGAATATGACACCAACTTCATGGAGTGATTTTACAACCTCCAGGGGAAAAAGAAAAATCTCTCTGAAGCATCTCTACCCAACATTAACCACTGAGGTCCAGGCTATGCTTCCAGCAATGATATCTAACCCAGGTCAGCCAACTCTTGACTGCCAGCTCCAAATCCAGCCTCCTACAGTGGTACAGCAGGATTCCAGCACATCCCCACAATGGGGTTTGCAGCAGGTGCCCATAATTCACAGACAACCACACCTCAGAAATACAGAAATACCTCTGCAACAGAGCCCACACCTCGTGGTGAAACCTCCCACCCCATCCCCAGCATGGGCCACATCCCCCTTGTGTCTGGTGGAGACCAGTCCTGATTTACCTCAGTAAATCTCAACTTTGTGCGGTTCCATGAGAGGAAATTTAATGAAATTCCATTATTTTCTCTACGCTATAGCCAAAAGGGTTTTCCCTCATCACACAGTTACTTTAACCCCTTTATTTTCAAAGGCAGCCTGGCTATTACCTGGATGCCATCCTGCTCCCAGGTGGGGAGCACAGCAAGGGAGGAGAAATGTTCCATCCTGCACAACTCTGTGCTGGACCTCTCCTTGGGGCACCAGATCCTACCCCCACACAGTGGTGCTCTAATGCCAACAGATAAGGAGCACAGCCTCAAGAGAAACCTCAAGAGAAACATGGAGTCTGACACTAGAAAAGGAAATCAGGGATGAGAAGGTTCAGTAGGAGCAAAACCCTCCATGAGGAACCCAGAGATCTTCCACTCCTTTTTCCTCATGGCCAAAGTTAGAAAAACCATCCACAAAAGAGCTCCAGAGGCAAAATTAAACATTTCCACAACTGTTACCATACTGTTTGCAGCAAGGCTTTGCTTTGTGCAGTGACTAAACCCAACCAGATTTTAGAATAAATCAGTGTGCTGTGTCACCACTTACCCTTGGGCCAATGTCTCCTGCTTCCCCCTGCAAATCAGGAAAACAGCAAAGGGTCAGAGTTCAAATCTCAGCCCTGAAGGACTGAGCACAGGGTCAGCTGGACATGGGCACAGCACACAAGGGAAGGGGCAAGAGTCCTTCCTATTGTTTAATGTATTTAAAATGAGGGAGGAGAAGGTTTGGAGACAACACAATAGGGAAAGATTCTGCCCTGGCAGGCAGTGAAACAGATAATAAATCAGAAAGAGCAGTTTGTTTCCAACTCTAAGGCTCTCCTAGCAACTGCTTATGTCCTTCACATGTGAAAATTAGCTTCACTTTCAGTAATGACCTTCTTTGGCTCCTCTGATTGCACGGGTGTCGTGCAAACACGATGGAGCCCAGATCTCTTGGAGGAATGAAGAGTTTTATGCTCTCATCACCCTTAGTGGCTTACCACACCCCTATGGCATAGATGAGCTTTAAGACCACACTTGTCCCCCCACCTTTTTTGCAAATTGTTCCTGCTCTCCCCTTCCTGGGGCTTTTCTAAGAGCAATGTGAGAACCACTCTAACAGCTCCAACAAAATCCAGCTGGGTCATTGGGGCAACCTGAGCTTGAAAGAATTACAGCAACAGGAGGATATACAGGAACTGCTTCCCCAAAACCCACATGTTAATGCAGCCTTTACCTTTTCCCCTTTTGGTCCTGGAGGTCCCTGGAAACACATAAGAAGAATCCAAATTAAGGAACAGCAGAATCACCAATGCATGTGACATTAAAACCAAGGAAATCACATTTATCAATTCACAAACCTGAGCCACGTTCTCTATTATTTTAAGGAATACATGCTACTATTTTAAAATGTGCAGTGCTTGACATGAGCAACACTTTACCCAAAAGCACCCACGAGGTCCTGCCTGGACAGAGTACAGAGGACCAGAGCAGGGCAGGCAGTGTGGCAGCAGCTCACCAACATGTGACTCTAAATAGATGCAAAAGATACCTGGAGGTATTAAATCACTTCTAGAAAAAGCACATGCTCAGTGTATCATTACAACAATTATACATCTGTTTGAAATAAACAAGGACGGGCTGCTTCCCTTGGCCTGTTGCTGAAGGCATCATTCATCTTCCCTCTGAGCAGCAGTCTGTAGGACAGCCAGGGCCACTGCAGCCCCAGAGAGAGCCCCAGAGCAGCACTTTGATGTGTCTGCTCTGCATTTGCCTTCCAGCACAGACAAGCACCAAACCTTGGTGCAGAAGTGGGACCAGGGGGGAAGGTCAGCAGCATCTGCATTCCCACTCAGTCTCCCTCCCACTGCCTTCCTCTGAGCAAGGCTGCTGGGCCCTTTCTGTCATGGAAGAGACCAACAGCAGTCTGGTTTGAGTCTGGCTGTGTGATAAGTTTGCTGTGTCACTGAGATTTCCCTGCCTCTCACTCCTGCCCTGCAGTGGCACCCCAGCCTGGGGGTGCAGGGCTGTGCTCTGGGGTCTGACTGCCCTCCCAGCATGAGGTTTTGCTAATGAAAGCCAAGCCCTTCATTCTTTTATTGTCTAATGCTTTATTTCTAGATTTTATTCACATTTGCTATCCTCAGGGTTAGGAGAAAAACCAACCACAGCAATGTATGGCTATAACAACACACTCCCTCACTGGATGGAAATAAATGTCTGGAGTGACTTTTCAATTGCAAAGACTGAATGGCTTTTACCCTCTTTGAAATCCCACTTGGTTTAGGACCAGAATTTAAAAAGATTTCATATGGGGCCCTGTAGTGAAGGTGGTGGAAGAGAATGGGGTTTGGAGACAAAATATGGAGCTGTGACCTTCTGTAGGAACCATTCAGTGGAAGGAATCAGAGCTGGCTAGGATTCAATTAGCATAAAAATAAAAAGTCTGCATTTCTGTAAAATAGAAAAGAATGAAGCACCTGAATATCCAAAGGGCTTCCAAGCAAAAATGAAATCAAGAAAACAGCTCATAAATTAATCCAGTCTGTTCCAAAAAGTATTTCATGGACACTGGGCACCCTGAAGCAGTTCCCAGCTCAGGTCCTTTGGATGAAAATGGAACCTGCATTGGGATCAATTATTTTTATGGTATCACTCTGCAGTGCCAGAAGCACACAACCAAGATCATTGATTTTGCTCTTTGAATGTGCTACTGGAGTTTTTCCCCAAACTTGGCCTGATGCCCATCTGCAGTCTGTGCTCCCTGAGCTGGGGCAGGAGGGGAAGAGGCGGCTGAGATGAGCTGACAGGTAAAGGAAAGTTCACCTCCAGCTCTGCTGGCCAGCCCTGGCTCAGAATTCAGACTTGCATGGAATAATCTTCCCAAGTACAATTGTTCCTCCTGAGCAGTTATATATGTAGCACTATGAGTAATAGTTGAGATAGTGCCTGTTTATTGTGGAGCAGCATGAACAAAGACATGTTATATTTGGCACTTGGTGCTACTTACTGGTTTGCCATCCAAGCCAAGAGGCCCCTGAAAAAGTAAGGAAAAGAGAGTATTATTAAAAAAAAAAAAAGAAAAAAATGTTTCAAACATAGCATTATCAGGCATGCTCTGAACGAGACTCTACTTACTTAATCTTTGGCTATGATTCTATGATTTACCTACTCCTCCATCCATGCAATCCAGCAGGAAGGTTTCACAGAGGCACAGTAAGAGGCATCAAACAATTTGCAGAGTGTGAAGGAGAGTGAAAGGAAGCGACAGGATTAGTGACAGGGATAAGGTGACACTGCTCTGGCACTTGGTCTGGGGCTCCCTGAGGTTTTGAAAGTCAAAACCAGCAGCAGTAAAACATGCCTGATTTGGTTAAACTGAGCAGATCCATGAGTGATTCACATCAGCCTTGGATCTGAGCTATTTTTCCTAAAGCACTCAGTTATCCCAGCTCTTCCTCAGGTATCCTGTTCCTAGGGTTGCGCACCAATATGGAAAATGGTAATTCTCCAGCATTTCTGGCACTTAAGCCCTTAATTAACACCAAACCACTGAATGTGTTGGGCCAAAGAAAACATTGCTTTTGATAAGGGATGTGGGGAGGGAGGAAGAATAGATGTTCTAAGGCCAAATCTACCCCTGTCATCAGCTGGAGCTGGCACTTCTGGGGACAAAGTGACACCCACCAGTTACTGTAAATCCACTGCCTGTGGAAAATGCAAGGCTTCCCCCTGCAAAGCTGCACCTTGGGATCAGCTCCAGCTCCCTCCCAGCCCTGCCCTGCACAGCCACACTGTGGAATATGCACATCCTCCTCCCAACACGCTGGGATGAAACATCTCCCACATTACAGCCCTGAGAACCATGAGGATCCACCAAAGCAAAAGGGGTCTGGACGGTGGTACAGTGCTAAAGCACCAAAGGTCTCTGTATTTCTTAGGGAACTGACTGGGGTGAGTCATTTTTAGTTTATCTTATTTCTGTGATAGGGAAATTGAGCAAAAGAGGCAAAGGTGGGTAAGAGGAGGCCAATGGCTGCATAAGAAAGAGCAACCTTGCAGCTCACAGCCATTGATAAGGAATAAATGGCCATTGATAAGGAATAAATCAGTCTGCAATGGCTATGCTGATGGGACCTGGAATATGAAACTCTGGGAAACACAGCTCTGTTAGGAAAAAGGTAAATCCAGATGACCTGGACAGATCATCAGTAGCTGGGTTACAAGGGCTGGGGGGCCTGTGCAAGAGAAACTCACTTGAAAATAAACGAGGATGTTTTTACACACATGAGATTTCTGAAATCATCAAGCACAGGTTACATTCCTTATGTGATGTGGACTTTTTCTTCTAAGGAGCCATCAGTACTCAAAGCTACATAGCGGTCATGAAAAATATACATAAAGAAGTGGTGTCTGTTAATTCAAAGGCTTGCAGACCACAACCAAACTACCCTGACACCTCCTGCACACTTTATCTCACCTCAATTCCTTAGGTTCTAAAAGCTGGGAATGGCATCAGGTTCACAGAGCTTCTTCCCTGAAACTGTGATTGTTTGAGGTCATTCATCTGAAGCTCTTGATGCAACTCCCTGACTTTCAGAGGATCAGACATGGGATATGAGCAGAGAACTGGCAGCACATTCGACTTCTCAGAGGAGTAGAAGTCCCAGAATTATTATTTTTTAAAATATAAAATGCCAGTTCTTCAGCTTTTAGCTATTCTTGTATCAGTCCACAAAGAGACATCCAGAAACAAAAACAATGGCCTATTCAGAAGATATTTGAGGGAAAACATTTAATGCTTGAGAGAAACAATATCCATCAGGGTTCCAAAGGGGCTCTTGGCCAGCCACAACACTGAATGGACAAGACTAACACAGAATTTTAAATATCTTGTTAGTCTGGGCTGGAGATTGAATTGACTCTGCTCTACCTGCCCAGCCAAATGTCTGTGTGAACAAGGCAGGGTTCCCAAGAGCAGCCAGGAGATTTCATCTGAATCTGGGCTGCCTGACTTGACTGCCTGCAAATCTCAGGAGCACCCATGTGTTGAGATTGTTATTGTCTTTTATTTGAATTCTCCTCCATGTCATTTTAATTAAAGATTAAGCAATCTCTAATTTATTTGATAAATAAGGAATGGGGAAACAATGAGTAACCCTCTATTCTCCCACTTAAAACCAATCTCTGTAGAAGTTTTCACTTTCAGAGGACAAAAAATACTTCTGCTAAACCAACCAGGAAAAGTGTGTGAAAAAAGAGAGTTTTTTTCTTGGACTCCTTGGCAAAGAAAGCATCACAGTGGTTTTAGGCTCTGCCTTTTGCCCAGGGAGCAATTTCACTTGTGCCTTCACTCACTCTTGATCACAGTCCTTTGCTCTAAATCACACACAGTGATCACAATTCAGATAATTTCAGATAATTCATTATTCTCTATATCCAGAGGGGATGAACTTTCTGACTAGGACAAACCCAATCCTTTAAAACAAGGTAGAGGGAAAATTCAAACAGTTTCACCCAAAACACAGTTCTGACCAAAACCATCACTGCACTGGCTAAGTGGGACAAAATATCTCAAGGAAGAGCACACTGTTGGGGTCCCAGATGACCCTAGAGGCCCCTTCCTGCTGGTAACCAACTCACATCTCATTTTCTGACCACACACCAGATGTGTTCTGTGCCTGGTCAAAGCAGCTCTGTGGGACACCCTCCCCATTAGAAAAGAAAAATTGTTGCTGTCAGTTTTGCAAAGAAAATACATCTGCAACATCTGTCTGGAGCCCTCAGGTTGCTGGAGCAGGAGGAGCTGGATTAGTGGGGACAGCTGGTGACACAGAGCTGGTGACACAGAGCTCAATCAGTCACTCACAGAGGTGAGTGATAATTGCAATTGCACACCTTGGTTTCACCCCTCACAAAGACTGACACAGGCACAGGTGTTCCTGCAGGAATAATGATCCATGGTGATCCCATGGTGCATCCCCCTTTGCCATCATCAGAGTGAGGACATTATTTCTAAAACTGATATATTTTATGGTACACATTGATGATCTATTATTTAATGATATCTAATTACACCTTGATGCTGAGAATGCAGACGTGGTCAGATAGGATGTAAAAGCTTGAGCAGAGCTTGTTACTATATCACATTATCTTGATGCATGCCTTGTTTTGACACACAACATTTCAACTTCAGAGTAAGGGGCTGCATTCAAATGCATTTTAAAACAAATTCTGATGTATTTTTCATTTTGTTTCACAGTAGAAGCTCACAAGGCTTGAGATACAGCACCAAAATGCCACCTCTCATTGCAAAAATGAGATTCACCCCTTGCTGAGGTCAGCTGAAGGCTTGAGAAGATTTTGAGCTCACCCAAAAAGGAAGATGTGGAGCTTGAAAAGCTGTTTCAATAAATAACACGCATTTCCCATGTTCATCACTCACCTCTCAGAGGCTCAGACAAGCCCAGGTGCCAGCCTGGCGCCCTGGCCCTCTGCCATCCCCCTCCATCCTCACTGCTGCTGTCAGGGATGGACTTGCTCTTAAAACATTACAGGAATTTTAAGGGGGGAAAATATATAGTGAAAGCAAAGCCAGAGATTTTTAAGAGGACAATCCTTCTGAGTTGGGAAATCTTCTCTCATGGTTATTTTTAATGTTTCCTGCTCTGCTAAAAATTAGCAGAGGGGTCGGAAGGAACCCTGCAGTCAAATTTTGACAAATTCAAAGGGCTGCCTTTCCATCTCTGGCTCTGTGGTTTCAGAAAAGGGTAGAATCTTATATTCCAAGGAATGAACAAAAGAGCATGACAACATTTCAGTATCCCTGCAAAGGGCCCTGGGTCATCTGCAGCACATTCAGGGAGCAGGGACCATCCCTTCCTATAGGCTATGCTGTAAATCCTCACAGGCAGGACAGTGTCTGCTGGCCATGTGGCTCCTCAGCACATTTTTGTGTGAGAAGAAAGCTCTGGCAAAAGCTGTGGCCAAGCACACCACCCTGCCAGGCCTGTCACAAGGAAAGTGGAGGAAGACAGCCAGGTTGCTGTGGCTGCTCCCAGCTTCCCAGCTGAAGGGAAAGGGAAGAAAAGGGACTGAGAAACAAAAAATGACCTATGAGTCCTCTAAATAGCAGCTGAGAATCACTGGCACTAACTGTGAATAAACTGAGTCCAAGAGACTTGCTCTGGGATGTCACCTCATCCCCAGTTACTGCTGCTCCTCCTCCCTCCCCAAAGTCCTCAGTGCAGAAGGATCAGAAACACTCACAAAATAACAAATTTCTACTCCATACAGTACCACTGCTGCTGCACTAATCATTTGTCCTTTCAAATGCATTTAAATTATATTCTATTGTTTATTTTTTATCATTATTATCTATAAGGCTAAATAAATTGATTATGACATTTAAAAACTTGTGAAGAGTATGAAATTAGTCATACAACGAATTACCCCAAGCACACACCACTCACTGCTGTGAGCCTGGAGGTGTCCTGGCCAGGAGATTCCTCCTTCATCAGCCCCTGGTGTGAGATCCCAAAATCATATCAGTTTGCAGCACGACAAAACATTGGAAACATTCCCACCAGGAGCTACTATGGTTAAGCATTAAGATAATTTATATCACAACAGTTTCATGTTTAGCTTTATATATAGCATGGAAAGCCTCACTGCAATGGGATGGGATTGCTATGCACAGGAACAGCACTGCACTTAAAAATAAATATAATTTTTTAAGCAATGAACATGATTATTGACAAACCTTTGCTAATAATTTTCTTTTTCTTTGTTTGAAAAAAGCTATTTCAGTATTGTCCAGCACAAATTCCCCATGCAGCCAAATTTCCTCCATGTAGTCATGGAGCAAACCATGACTACATGCAAACTGAAAACCCATTTTCCATTACTAGATGAGTTTTTTACATTGTTTAAAAAAAAAAAAATTCCAAAACCAAATAGCTTCTACGATTTTCTTACAAGCACTAAACAGCAACGTTGACGAGACATTATTTTTTAGTCTTTGCAAGACTAATTGTT